TCAAAATATGGTCTCTTAAAATATCTTCAAAATAGTTCCTGATCGAATAGAAACAAGCACAGGGAAAATTCTCTTGTTACAGACATTTCATTAGTGTGGTGATTGTGTTGCCAGAAGGAAGGAGAACATGCCAGGGCAAACACACTCAGTCCCAAGAATGTTCCTTCTCTGAATTCCTAGCCTGTTCTTTCTCAGTCTCCTCCCCTTCTCATCCAGAAGTTCCACTGTTGCCATCGTTATCCAGAGTTCCTGCCCGCAACTTGTCCAAGAGCAAGCGTGGAGGAACTGTGTGTGCTCCTTTCCGTTTGTTTTGCGTTGGAGTATTTTTCTCACATGAAAAATAGCCTGGTGTGGGGAGCATAGGGAGAGTTCCTCAAATGCAAAGTTTATGAACTGTTTCTGTCTACTTTAGAGAAGTCAGCAAGCAGATCTTGCGTCTCTCCACTATTCTTAGCATATTGGTAGCTTTGTGTTCTCTAGAATACTTCTGTATCTAAAAATTATGCCTCGCAGAATTAATTTTCCCTTATGAACCTAACCATTGGACATTCCCCTCAAAGCTGACAGCCCCTTTGGAAACAGCATCAAGGTGGAAACTTTGAAGTTCATCTAGTCCAGTCCACAGAAGTGCAGTGACTTGCCAACAACCTGCAGGCAGTAGCAGACCTGGGACTGGAAATCCATGTCCCTGTTAGTACTTTGCTTTTTCCAGCCCGATTCTGCCCTCTAGCTCCCTTCACACAGTGACTCTGGGGACTGAGTGCCAACCCACTTGCTAGTAAAGAATATGTTTACCAGGGCCTTTTTTGGCTCTCTCCAGTGAACTCTTGGACTCAGCCAAGCCAAAAGCTAGATTTAATTGAAACCTGTGTGGAAACTATATTGATCAAAATGTTATCTCCAGGCCTTGTACAAAAAGGGAAGCACCTGAATCCGACAGACAATTTTGATATACATTTAAAAGCTCTTTTACAATACTGTTTTGTTGACTCACACCTCTGAGGTTCCCTATTACATCAGAGTTGTTGATGCTTCATTCTTGCTGAAGGAGTTTTGAGATGTGCCAACTTCACACTGTTCTTTCCCCAAAACTGAGGTGCAGTGTTCTGATTAAGCTTGTTCCCCAACTCACTTTTTTTTTTTAAGAAAAGCATTTTAAAGGATTTGTATATATCACTGTCTAGCACTTACTAGCTCCCACAAGTGCGCAGCATGTTTCTGATCTCACTACTAGTCTTTCATTCACTAGTCCCTTTGCTGATCTTCAAACACCATGCTTTGTACTTTGTTGTTCATGCTATATAGACACATTCCCCTCGATATGACGGATTCCTGCTTCACCCTTTCCTCCATGAGGCCCTTCCTGAAGCTCTTCCTTACCGCCCTTTTTAAAATTGTCACCCCCCGCTGCCCAAGCATGCCTTTCTGAGTCCCTTTCTTTGCTGTGTTTTTCTCTATAATACTTGCTACTTTCTAGCATAGCACTCCTGTTTTTTAGAGTTCTCCAGTGACTTTTTGGTCAGTACTGCGGACTTTTGCCATAGATGTTGCTTCACTACTTATGAGAATTCTGGCAGGGGTGGGATCTTTTTTTTTTTTTTTTTTTTAAAGATTTATTTGTGTTACACATACAGAACTGTGGTACAGGCCAGAGGTGCAGGGGCGGCGAGAGGATTCATCAAAGACAGAGTGGGAAGCAGAACAGGCAGATCAATGAAGCAAACTGCTGAGGGGAGCAGCGGGCGGGTCAGGAGAGGTCTGCGTGCCATGTGGGTCACCTCCAGGGCCAGGGATCTAACTCATGCTGAAGTGGGTGCAGCTGGCTTATAGTGCTGCACCTTAACCTGCTGCCAGAGGTGTGGGATTTTAAATTATAACTTCAAGGAAAATGCTTCTCACTAGTCTCTTGGATTAAATACCTTATAGTAAACTTTCATCAGAAAGTTTTTTGACAATTGTAACAGCAGTATACTCGTGTATATTTAAATTTTCAGAATAATATACCTTAAAGCCTGAGGCTCTCCTGATATTTTTTAATGAATTTGTATTATTTAAACAAGTGTTTAAGATATGAGAAATACTTGATTTTAGTGTTATCTTTTTCTGTGGGGGATTTAGCACTAGATAATCTGTGTATAATCAGGTATACTTTAGAATGTTTGTTACTGCTTATACATGTTTTATTTGAAAGTAGTTTTTTAGTTACTATACATTGTAGAAATTTTGGAAAGTTAGAAAAGTAGTAGGAATAATGGAGTCTCAGAGCTGAATGCTGTTGACACTTCTAGCATTTTACATTGCTTAATCCTCATTCAGGTTCATGGGTGGGGATGTCAGTGGTGTGGCTTGAAAAATAATAGAGAAGATACTCCCACAATGAAGAATTAAATATTGTTAACATCTATACATACTTGCTTCCAGTTTCTTACTGTGTATATACTTTCTAAAAATGGAGCAAGTTAAAAGGCACATTATCTTTTTTTAAAAAGTAATAGTGATAGAGATAAATTCATCTTTAATCACCATTCCCTGTTCTTTGTTCCTCCCTGTTCCCCCCCCAGGATCTTAGCCCTGCATCTTCACCAAATACTTTTCATACGTTTAGTATGTGTTGGTGAGGTACAGATTTATATGCTGGCTACTTCATAGAATATGTACTATTGCTTTGTTTGGTTTAAATGATACCACGCTTTGGAGAGACCTGCAATTCTTCCCCCCTCAGCTGTCGAGCAGTTCGAATTGGTATATACTGAGCAAGTCATGACATTGCTGTCTGGGCCTCCGTGTATGTGGAGGTCCTTGGGTTTCTCCAGTCTTTGCTCATGGGGTTGAATTTGGTTCTTGACTATTATAAACTGTGCTGCCACAAATATTCTCACTGGTCTTCTTGATTGCTTGTGTTTGTGTTTTTCTTGGATGGCATAGGAATTTTTAATCTGCTTTTTCTCTAAACATTAAAATGTGACCATTCCCATTAGCATATTAATATAGTATCTTTATATACTTTTAAGATCTAGACTTTTGAGCATCTTTAATTTCCTTAATGCGCATGAATATGAAATAGTATTTGGACACAAGACTTTTTGCAACAGAAAAATTTAAGTACTGCATCAACTTGCTAGAAAGCAATAGATAAAATACTAAGCTATTTCAATACAAGGATTAAAAACCAGAAATAAGAATCATAGTTAGTACTTGGAGGACCAAGATACCCGAGACTTTGTATTTTTATCCTCCCCCCCCCGCCAGATTTATTTATGCATACAGAACTGGGGTGCAGGGCAGAGGTACAAGGGCAGAGGATTCACCCCAGACAGAGTAGGGAGCAGAACAGGCAGATCCATAAAGTACTCTGCTAAGGAGATCAGTGGGCAAGACAGGAGAGGTCTGCTGCGCCATGTGGGTCAGCTCCCGAGCTGGGGATCAAACTCATACTGAAGAGGCTGTGGCTAGCTTGCAGTGCTGCATCCTAGCCCATTAGGCCCTGACCCACCAGGGAGGGCCCTTATCTGTTTCTAAGTCTAGAAAAATTTCTTAGATTGTTTTTATACATGACCTTGGTCACCACTCATCTTTGAGGTTCCTGCTCGAGTGCCAGTTCTCTGCTTTTTCTTGTCATTCCCCTCTCCCGTTCTCCCCCAACTTTGTTAACTATGCATATTGCAGTTCTTCATGTCTCCATTCCACTGTCACAGCGACGTCTCTGAGAATGGTATACTGTCTTAGTTATTTTCTACCCCAAACAAGCACATTGCATGACTTATTGGTGTTGACCAAATATATTTTGAATGAATGTGAGAGATTGGGAGGAGTGGTGGTGTGAAGTTGTGACATGATGGTCACTTTAGGGAGAACTTAAGTATGAAACAGAGCAAGGAAGTCCCTAAAGGGAATGAGGCAAAATGACAGCTTTGTCAATGAATCTGTACTCTAGAATACTGCCATTTGCATTTGCACAAACTGATTAAATCACTGATTTTACCTTAGAGATGAATTTCTCCTTGATATTCAAATATCAATGTCTTTGTTAAAGTCTGCACTCGATTTTCTTGGAATAATTCAAAAAACTCTACTTCCTATGGGCTACCTTGGTGGCACAAGGGGTTAAGTCTCAGCACTGTGGAGCTGGTCACAACTACTGCATGCAGCATGAGTGCAAGTTTCATCCCAAGCCAGGGAGACCCACCTGGCGCAGCAAACCTCTCCTGTCTTGCCCGCTGCTCCCTTCAGCAGTGTACTTAAAGGGGCTCCACCTGTCCTCCTCCCCAGTCTATCTCTGGTGAATGTTCTCACTTCCACACCTCTGGCTTATACCCCAGCTCTTGTATGCATAGATAAATAAATCTTGAAAAACAACCAAAAACCTCAACTCCTTGTGATACAGCCATCTCACAAATTTGCTTTTTAACCCTTGAGTCAATTTCTTAGTTGTCCCAATATAATGAAAACTGGGTTTCCTGGAATGAGTAGACTGAAGCTAAAGGAAATGATTTGGTCACTGTTCTTATGAAATTCTTTGTGGTTTGGAAGCGGCAGCCTTTAGCATTTCAGCAGCTTTATTCGCATTCTGCGCAGTGTAGAGGAGTGGTATCAGTGTGTGGGCTCAGAAGGAGAAGTTCAAAGCAGAACCTCCAGATTTAGAGATTAAACAATAAAACTTTTGGGAGGCGAGTCAGAATAACTCAACTTTTTCCCTGGCACTAGTTAATAAATCACTTAGTACTATAAATTTCTCTTGGCAAGTACCTTTTATAACTATTTTGTATATGAAGTGGAATTGCTCTCAAAGTTTATTTGGTTAATAGAACTGATAAATTTTAATTAACCTACACTGTCAAGAGAATATTGTAATCAGTAATCAAAGATCTAAAATGGAAAGTATTGAGTTATGGGTATTATCGCCTATTTCCAATACTGAAATGGTTTCCGATACTGAAATACTTTAAAACTATTTTTTCCTCTGAATACTGTTTGCTGCTAATTAACATCTCTTTTTACAGGATTCATGAATAAAATTTTCCATCCCAACATTGATGAAGCGTAAGTAACTATTTAAGAATGTTTAAATCTTAGCAGCAACTCTCTTGGTTAGAGTTCGTCTCTCTATTATAAAACCCCAATTATCAGCAGATAGGATAATCTGAATAGTCACTTTAACTGTAGAATCTCAGGGAATTCTGCTATTGGACTGTTTATTTTTTTCCGTTGTCATGAATGGGTCTTTAATTCCCTTGGAATCAGTTGGGATTGTAACATTCTACATCTCTGTTCTCTTTGTTTAGACACAGTTTGGAGATCTGTTTTCAGTATGCAGATTAGCTATTTTCAGCCCTTAATGTATTTCTCAGTTCTTAAGATTAAAGCAAACATGAATGAGTGTAGTTTCATTTCATGAGTCTTAACTAGCCCTTTCTTTCATTCTGATGCTTCACTAGTGATACTTTAATACATGATAGCTGTGCCTCCCAAACTCTGATGTTGTTGAACATAAACCTGTATTTGTTCTACAGTTTTGCCTTGTCATGGCACTAAATTTTGCTATTAACCTACTATCTGAGATATTCTGAGTTCTATGTGAATAAGTTGTATATAAATATCACGCCCTGTTGTCCTTTAATACTTCCATTAATCAGTCATCCTGACAAGGATGTGCGCTTATGTAACTACAAGATGGTCATCAGATTCAGGAATTGAATATTAATGCAGTACTTTCTTATTTTACTGCCATTTTCTGGGAATGTACTTTTTAGCCTTTTTTTTTTCCCATTTAGGTAAAGGATGTGATCTAGGATCATGTTTTGCATCTAGTTGTCATATTAATCTGAAACAGGTCCTCAACTTCTTATAAAATTGACATTTCTGAAGAATGTGGATGAATTATTTTATGCTCTACCCCTCAAGTTGGGTTTGTCTTATGTTTCCTTATAACTTGACTCCGGGTATAAACTTAAAGCCAGAAAACCACAAAGTGAGATCTGGTCTCCTTAGGGTTATGGGTTCTTGGGGGACCTGGCTGCCAGTACCCAGGACCTGTTTTAAGGTGTTGTCTGGCTTTTCCTCTATATAGTCACTGTTTTGCCCTTTGGATTTGTAAGGAAACACTTAAGACTTTATATATATTCTGCTTTCATCATATTTCCTCCAATTGGGATTCTTTTTTTTAATTTTCTAAATGTATTTTTTCTTGATGAGTAAAATTAGTTGCCAGATACATGCAACTAACTTCCTAATTTTTAAAAAAATGCCATTCTTTCCATCTGTTTCAGGTCAGGAACTGTGTGTCTAGATGTAATTAATCAAACTTGGACAGCTCTCTATGGTGAGTTTGGCCATGGAATTTTTTTTTTTTTTTTTTTTTTTTTTTTATGAGATGTTGAGACACTGCTTGAAAAAAATGTTTGGCTTTCTTCACGTTAAAGATGTTCTGTTGGGAATGGAATGGGATTTTGAGAACCTGGATGGGAAAGTTGAATCAGTGAAAAAAGGTTTTTTTTCCTCTGAAGTAGAAGCTTTGGTTTGGCAGTGAAGTTTAAAATAACCTTGTGAGATTCTGAAATTGAGATATAGTGATGTACATATGCAGACATACAAATACATAAGCAAAACTCTTGCATTATACTGTATTCAGAACATCATATACATGTTTATTTGTAGTATCTTTTCCTTGTGGAGAAAACTCTCAGGGATGCCCCTGTTTATTAAGATGATATAGTAAGAGATTTAGGGGATCATCTGTTTTAAAGACCAAAACCTCATTGAGAGCAAAGGTGAAAATGACATCTTATCTATTACAGTGAATCCATGCAAGAAATGCCCAAGTCTGCAAAATATTATGCTAAATATCCCAAAGAGACATATGGAGTATCAGGCTGCCTTCCCCTGAGCTTGTAACTTGGGTGAGGAGCTAAAAGTATTTTAAAATATCTTTCAGATTAATTAGGAAGACAACAGTCTATTCCATTACATGTTCAAACCCTCAGCCTTCACAGACTCTCTCAAGCCTCCACCCCATGAAGCTTCCTCTGATGCTCCAGCTGGAAGTAATCTCTTTTGTGGCCCACTTTTACTTCCTACCTTCTATTTGTTGTTTTATGCCTACATTTTTGTGCTACTAGACTATTTCCTGTCTGAAAGGCTGTGGGCACACATCTTTAATTTTTGCACTCATAGTACAGTGTCTCACCTCAGTGAAAGAATGAATGGAACAGAAAACAAAACAGTTGCTCACAGGTACAAGAATAGAGGAGAAGGTCCTGTTAGAGTGGAGCAAACCTGTCTTACTGAAGAGCTGTGAGACCCTTTAACAGTTAAAGGTACATAAGACATTTTATTTCAGCCACAGTTGTTAAAAGTTACTTGCCAGGCATCCTTGTACTAGACGGTATATGAAAATCACGGTGGAAAGTTGGTCACCAGCGACACAGAGTTTATTCCCTCACTTCTGATTTCTGCCATTCAAAAAGGTTGTCTCTGCCTGGAGTTAACCTCCTTGAGCTGTGTAAGGCTGGCATCTTTTTTTCTCCCATCAAACATCACTTCCTCAGTGAAGCCTCCTTTCCTAGCTACATAGCGTCCTGTTTTTAAAGCCAGTACTGGTTTATTATTTATCTTATCCTGTTAGATTGTAAGCTCCACCAGAGTAGGGATTTGGTTGTATGTGTATGTGTGTGAGAGCACACGCAACTTCCTGGTACCTGATATATAATAGGGTTCAAATAATTTGTTGTTTGAGTGAGTTAATCATGCCCAGTACTATTTAATATGAGAAATTTTAGGGAAATGACAGCTTACAGGAGATGAAGTGACAAGAACATAAACTTAGAGGTGATTAAATGGAATTTTTTTTTTTTTTTGTAAAATGCCTCATGGCAGGCTGCCTGGAATATCTGATGTAATGATGCATTTTCTTAAACTACATTCACATTTTAGAAATGCACATAACAAAACACTACAAGCTGGTTCCAATTACAATAAAGTAAACTGATCCTTAGTTTAACTAATATGTTTTCTGTTGACCACAAAAGTTTTGTGGAAGAGGTTTGCTGATTCTCAGAAACTGCATAGCTCAGATTTTTAATAACTATAGAATTATAATTCACATACATAAAACTCATCCATTTGGGGCCCTCCCTGGTGGCGCAGCGGGTTAAAGCGTAGCACTGAGAATCTGAAGCCGCTTCCACATGAGTTCGATTCCCGCCTGCCCTGGAGGTGACCACATGGCGTGGCAGACCTCTCCTGACCCGCCCGCTGGTCCCCTCAGCAGTGTACTTCGTCGATCTGCCTGTTCTGCTCCCCGCTCTGTCTCTGGTGAACCCTCTCACCCTCCGCATCTCTGGCCTGTACCCCAGTTCTGTACAAATAAAAAAAAAAAAATCTTAAAAAAAAAAAAACTCATCCATTTGAAGTATATAATTTGATAGGTTTTGATTTAATATATTCTGATATATACAACCATTTCTACAGTTTTAGAACATTTTAATTACCTCAAAAAGAGCTTCTTAAGCCAACACCCTTCCCTTTCACCTCCCCCCTCAGACCTAGGCAACCACTAATTCCTTTATAGCTCTAGATTTGCCTATTTCAGATATTTTGTATAAATGGAAATTTTTTGGTGACTTTTTACTGCATATTATGTTTTCAAAATTCATGTGGAAGCAATGTATCAATAATTTGAAGCTTTTATAGCCAAGTGATAGTCCATTGTACAGATAGATAACACTAAATCCACTTGCCAGTTGATCAACATTTTGGTTATTTACACCTTTTTAAAAATATTTATGCATACACAACTGTGGTATAGGTGAGAGTGCAGGGATGGTAAGAGGATTCACCAGAGAGAGTGGGGAGCAGAACAGGTGGCTTGACGAAGTACACTGCTGAGGGGAGCAGCGGGCAGGCTGCAGGCCAGGGGAGGTCTGCTGTGCCATGTGGGTCACCTCCAGGTGGGGACCGAACTCATGCTGAAGTGGCTTTAGCTTCTTAGTGCTGTACTTTAACCCGCTGTGCTACCAGGGAGAGCCCGGTTATTTATACCTTTTGGCTATCATGAGTAATGCCTCTGCAAGTATCCCTGCTCACATGGTCATGTGGACATAGATTTACATTTCTCTTTGAGTGTGTATCTAGCCATGGAACTGCTGGGTTTATAAGGTAACTGTTTAAACACTTGTGGAACTGTTTTCCAAAGTGGTTGTACCTAGAGTATGTTCTCATATTACCTTGCAAAGTGTTTAGTGAGTAACAAGAACTAAACTATACTGGTCAAAGTAAACACTTATTTCTGTATCACATGTGTTTAGTGAAACATTTCATCATATAAAATCATGGACACACTAACTTTACAGGTAGGTACAGAAATAATATTGCTATAGTATATTCAAAAATATAGCCTGCATAGGGGAATTATTTTGACATTTTGTTCAAACCCCAACTATTTCTCAAGAAAATTCATTTCTTTTATGGCAAGTTTTTAGGAGCAGGTAAATAGAATTTATATAAACCATTGATAGAAATGGTTGGTTCAGATAACTTAGAAGCTTCTTTTTGTCTTACCTGATCTGGAGAGCTGAACTGAATTTTTGCTACAAATTATTCAAGCCCTTGGCATTGAAGGTTAGTTTATAATTGGTGACTTCTGAATCACTCCATTTCCTATAGTGATTTTCAAGAGAATCTCTGTTCAAAGGACAAAAGTATCTACTATAATATGGAACAATGAATAGGAGAAAGTTGGCGTGTTGTCACGGGCAGTGACTGAAAAGCAAAAGGCTTAGCCTGACCACTAAAACTTGTTTCAGTTTCTCAGCTGTGGGATATGGTGAGAAGCAGGGAATTCCAGGCGACATTCACTGCAGCTAACTGCCCCCGTGCATGCACCATGCAGTGACTATCCATATTTGTAGCAATTCCCAGTTGGAAACTAAGGTTTATACTGGTAACTGGATTTATAATAAATTTAGTGTCCTAGTTCTCCTGCTCTCCTCCCCTATGCAGAATTGACTTGGGGTGGTTCATTTGATGAATTGTTTCTGTTCTCCTCCTATATTATTCTTTCCAAATATACATACAGTTTGTTCATTCAGAAAGCTCAAAATTGATATAATTGTAGCTTAATCACTCAGTAATTTTTAATTTTATATTAATCTTGCAAGAGAGCTAATTATTATAGGTAATATGGGTAATTTTGTAAAGATGCTTGTCATCAGTATGAAGTTATCCATCCAGTATGGAGTTACTGTTATTCTTGTGACATTAAAAGGAAAGTAGCAGATGCCATCACAAAATTGATTCATTTTAGTTTCCTGCATGATAGCATCTTTTTTTTTTTAATCCCTTCCTGTTCTTCCAGACAAAGATAAAAGCTGGAAAAAAATTAAAATGCAGCCAACAGATCTAGATTTCAGTTTCAAAAGCAACTGTACTTTTAAAAACCAGTGGAAAAGAAAGTTCATTCATTTATTTGAGGCTTTTTAATAAGCTCCTCTTCTATTTTCCAGTCTTCTTTTTCTTCCAAAATATCCATAGCTGATATTTCACCCCACACTCCTGAAAGGCCAGGTCCCTGCACTCTAACACATCTTTAATTCCCTTACCCCTCCCCTTGCCCTTGCATGCTTGACTCCTGTAAATTACAGTTTTCTCTCCAGCTTTCATTTAGTCATTTCTCCACTGACTTGATGACTTATTTTGTGGATTAAGTTGTGGACAAAGTAGAAGAAAGCTTTCTCATAAAATGGGAGTTTACAATTTTAATTTCACGCTTAGGGTTGCTAGCCTTATTTTTTTTTTTTTTAAAGATTTATTTATTTATGCATACAGAACTGGGATACAGGCCAGAGGCTCAGGGGCGGCGAGAGGCTTCACCAAAGACAGAGTGGGGAACAGAACAGGCAGATCGATGAAGTACACTGCTGAGGGGAGCAGCGGGCAGGTCAGGAGAGGTCTGCCACACCATGTGGTCACCTCCAGGGCAGGTGGGAATCGAACTCATGCAGAAGTGGCTTTAGCTTCTTAGTGCTGTGCTTTAACCCGCTGCGCCACCAGGGAGGGCCTTTTAGCCTTATTTTGCTGGTGATGGAGGTGGGAGGGAATCAACACTTGGAAAATTACTGGTGTCCAGAAGTCCATAACAGAGATGAAGAGTGTTTCTGGGATTCTGGGGTTAGAATGGGACAAGAGAGAGAAAGTGTTTTAGAAATGTTTCAGAGCATAAATTATATTTGATAGTATGACACCTAATGAATTTAGATGAATTTAAGCTTTCTTATATTGGAAATAGTTATTCCATTCCTCTAATGAATTTAGATGAATTTAAGC